TCGAACGGCCGACGACCGGTGACTTCAGCATTCTCAGCGGCGGTGCACTGCACATCTACTACATTCCCATCTACAAGTTGAGCGACGAGACGATTAGCCGCATCCGCATGTGTGCGACGCCGGCAGTCGTTCAGCATCGACTGGTCCAGATCATCAAGGGTACTACGCGAACCATCAACGATGCTGTGGCGGACCATCACCAAGGTGCGCGGCTGCATCGACCAGTTCTTTGCCACATGCGCACGAAATTGTCAAGGTGACGGTGCAGATGACCAAGACCAACGCCGTACACATTCGCTTTACGACGCTCCTAGGTCGGCTCCACGAGGCGCTTGTTCAAGGCATTGTAGCGATTCACGGTGCTCTTGACACGGCAACCAGCAATGATGCCGGCGCCCGTCTCGTCCTCGTCGCCCCGTCGGAATCTGCTGCGTCTCGCGGAGCGGTAGTTACAATAGAGGCTTGCTCAGTTGTAATACGACAACACGGACATACGCGTACCTCGAGTAATGCTGTCTTCGAGGCGGCTTTCCGTGACTGCGGGATCGCCAGCGCTGACACGTGCTCGGCCGTCGCTAGCTCGGGCTGCTCGACGGCGGCAGTCCCTCACGCCACCTTGGCCATCCGATGCATTTTCGCCGGGCGTGCGCGGTCCAGCTCGGCGAACACGTCAACCGCTGTCGTTGTTGGTGTTCCTGTGCTGCCACCGACCGCCACTGCCGCGCTCGGCACCCCATGGTGTATTTTGGAGGTTGAAAAAACATGTGACTGCTTAGGGGTACAAGGAGCGCCAACTCGACGAGGGACTGGCTCGTACGAAATCAAAGCGATGATTCCAGGAGGTCAGCTATTTGTGTGAGTAGATCTGCATTCACCTCGTCAGCCGGGAAGCCCGCGTCGCTTGGCTCCATGGACCAAGCGACGTTGGCAAGACGCAACTAGCATGCAGCGCTGCCCGCGCACTGCAGCTCAACCGCGTCTATGCGCGTGGAAGCACCTTTATCAGCGTTGAAGATATCGCCGAGAGGTGCCCTGGCGTCGCAAACGACGCTGTCCTCGATGCGCTCAAGCTCCCGATAAGCAAACAAATTCAGTGTACTTTACGAGATTTTTCGTACGGATTCATTCGTCGGTGGCGTTGGTCAAAGCATTAGCGCTCACGAGAAGAGCTATGTGATGAGGCAGGTGATGATACAAGTGGCTTCCACTAGCGTGACCAGACCATGGGTCGTCGACGCTGCGCATGTCGTGCAAAGCATGCTCGATGACTTGTTGACAGCGTCGACAGTCGACTGGACCGTGAAGGGTCCAGCGCGTGGCCCATGCTGCATGGACCACGGCCTTGCACAGGCCATGCAAGGTCGCGTACAGCTAATCAAAGATGGGGCCAAGCGACTGCTGCGCCACAGAACATGCCAATCGTACTGCAAGTGACGTCACTACCAAGGGAGCCACCGGCGTTGCCTTGCCTTGCGTCGGTCTCTACGCTGCTGTACATATGTGCACAACTTGGTTTTGTTCACGCATCTGTATCATTGCCCAACGTGTGGCGCAACTACTTGTACCTAAAGAGCGGCGTCGTGCAGATTGCCCGTGCTCACCAATTGCAACATGGTCGTTTGAAACATGTTTTAAACAGCCAACGATCGGCATAGAAAAACCAAGTCGAAAAGAAACAAGCTCCCCAAGCTCCGAGCCAGTTCTTCTTCGCGTTCATTCCAGCTTTCGATCGGTCACGAGACGACCCCCAGACGACGACAGCCGGCGTCGCCCGCCTGGCCCTCGACGAACTCCACGCCATGACGCGGTATGCTCCTGCACCTTCCACTTGCTCGACATGACGCTTCCATGTCTAGACGTTTCTGCACGCGTCGCCTTCCGTCGTCGACTTTCTCGAAGGCAAGCCGGTCCTATGCCCGGTATGCTTCATCAAGCTAGCGTTGACATCGGCTTAAGGCACTGTATAGCAATCCGACGCCGACATCGAGTACGACGCGGTCGTTGCAGGCTTGCGACACGTCGACACACGTAAGATGCTTTGTCGTAGCTGTGCGTCCCGTTTTGGCAACGCGCAAGAACCTCGTACGTGTCGAGAAGGACGAGTGCAGCGTGCTGCACTCTTCCGGTCTCGGTACGACCGATGCTGCGCTTTTGTTGAGTCAAACTCGAATAAAAGCGCAGCATCGGTCGTACCGTGTCCGGAAAAGTGCAATACGGTGCACCCGTCCTTCTCGACATGTCTGAGGTTTGTGCGCGTCGCCACGACTGGACGCACGGCGACAGCTACGAAAAACAGCAGGACTTGTCGCACGGCGCGCTTTCGTGTGCGCTCTTCGCTACCGATGTTCGTGGTATGGCTAGGCAGCACAGTGCGCGATGCATTTATAGCAGCCTGGGGCAGTGTAGGGCCAACTACGACGCACCTCGTTCAAGACACCGCCAATGGTATCCCAGATCTGAAGAAGACCGGTGTAGGGGCTGCCGCGTGTCTGGCGGCCGGCGTAAAGCACGTCATCGCCGTGAGCTCGAACTGGGATATGGCTGAAGACGCGGTGAACGTCTTTGCTCGGTACGATTGCATGGAACTCTCGGTATGCATTCACTGCGCCTCGACTAGGTCGCTCTACACGATGCTTGCGCGCGGACGCGGAATCGACGACGGATTCAACGGGACGACGTTCGACGTCAGCCGATCCAACATTTTCTGCGTCGTTGATGTTTCTGCGTCGTGGATATTCGATCGGCGGACGTCGAACGTTGCCACGTTAAATCCGTCGTCGATGCCGCGTCCGCGCCCAAGCATCGTGTAGAGCGACCTAGTCGAGGCGCAGGGACATGTTCCCGCCCTTTCGTGCTGACGA